GCCGTCTTCTTCTTCTTCTTCTTCTTCTTCTTCTTCTTCTTCTTCTTCTTCTTCTTCTTCCTCCTCCTCCTTCCTCCTTGCATTCGTCTTCGTCTTTGTCTTCGTCTTCTTCTTCCTTGCATTCCTCTTCATCTCACAGCCCCCTGGAACCGAGAGGTCAGTTGGACAGGAAGTAGCATGCGCAAGTAGTAGCCCTTCCAACTTGCACAATCTTCTTCTTCTTCCTCCTTGCATTCCTCTTCTTCTTCTTCTTCCTCCTTGCATTCCTCTTCTTCTTCTTCTTCTTCTTCGTCTTTGTCGGTCTTCTTCTTCTTCTTCTTCTTCTTCGTTGCATTCCTCTTCTTCTTACAGCCCCCTGGAACCGAGGGGTCAGTTGGACAGGAAGTAGCATGCGCAAGTAGTAGCCCTTCCAACTTGCACAATATTAAGGCAGAGGCTCCTGCTCAGAGTTGCCTGGAGACTGCTTCTTGTACAGTCTCTATGAGCGGCTCCCTTGTAGGCATGGGGAAGGAGTTGATCAATCTTGTAAGCCCTGGGCTGACATGGAGAAGATAAAAAGGGAGCTATTTTTTAGTAAATGTAGAAGTTACGAGACAAGAATAGGTGCAATTGTAGACACTGGCTCAAATAGAAGTGATTTTGCCATATCAGGTGCAATTGTTAATCTGCACAAGGGGAATGTTGCATCTGTTGTGGACGGTAGTAAGAGGGATGGAGCACAGGGTAAGTCCATAGATGGGGAGGTACGTCTATGATGTATGATGGGCTGTCAGCATCTCTCACTACGTTTAACACTTCCCATGGTCCTCTATATATCGATAAAAGTTCTTGAGAAGTGCCTTATTCGGGTAGAAACTCTTTAGCAAACCGCCCACAGTAAACCAGGATGGTCTTGTGTGCTCGTTAGCTTGCTCAACTGTCTTCTCCTGGGCATGTCTGATATTCTTAGCTACTTTCTTAAACAACCAGTATGTGTCACAGGCAAATTGTTCCAATGCAGCCGTGCACACGGTGTGACTTCGGGACTCAGGCTACTGAATGGAAAAGGCTGGCAGCGCCAGCCAACAGAAAGACAATTGTGCCTGAGCTGGCTTTAAAGCACTCGTCCCAAGTGGGAATATAGTAATATACCTATACTGCGTTCTTCGGACGCTGGCCCACCATTGGGCTGCTATTGATAAATTTCATCGGCGGCCTTTGTTCCGTTACCGGCCTCCGAAATTCACGAGGCCTTGCCTGAGGATGTGTGGGAAAGGTAGTGGTGGTTTAAACCACCAGTACACAGCCCCAGCCTTGCAGTCCGAAACTTGTCACCACTAGAAAACGAGGCTGAAATGTTAAACGCCGCGCCCGTCGTTGATAAAATTAGATCGGCGGTTGCGGTTTCATTTCGCGCCTCCAGAATTTGAGGTGTCAGGCCTGCGGCCCGGGTGCCCATGTACTGGTGCTTTAAGGTCTTTCTCATTAGTCCGTGCAAACTATTGCAATCCGGGTGGTAGTCTTTGGATCTGATCTGGATTAGACAGTCTATTTGTCTCTGTGGCTTCGAGCCTTTGTGTAGCTCCTTTGGCATCCTACCAGGGCACTGAATATTACCTTTGGCAACTGCTTCCCAACTGATCTGATCCGGCCTAATGTGCATATGGAGGGGGCAGTTTGTTCATTTCTTAGATTCAACCTTGGACTTTCCAGATACGATACCTTTACTTGCTGGCTGCATTCGGCCTTTGATGCACGCAGAATGTTCACTGAGGTCCTTGGGACTTGGGCCGCTGACTAGACTGGAGTGGACTGTATGGGACTCGTCTGTACAGGACTAGACTGGACGAGACTGGACTGGACCGGACTGCTAACCTACCAGCCTACGTATTAAACACAATCTATTGGTCCTTCGTGGTGCATTCGACTTGGAACTTCGAGACCAGGTCTGGGACAGGACGGTGATACTCATGAAATCCTTTCAATCGGAAAGGAAAGTGTGTTTTGTGGCTGCAATATAAACAGCTTTTGTCTGAGCATCATGTCGAGATTGTGTTTTGTGGCTGCCATATAAACAGCTTTTGTCTGAGCATCATGTCGAGATTGTTTGAGGAACTAAGGTAAAAACAAGCAAACAAACATACAAGCAATATTCATCCTCGAAATCCTCTCCTAAAACCATTGATACTGCCCTTCAGATGTGCCTTAAAACCCAAGGATGGTGTCTAAAACCGAAGTCATCTGGGCTCCACTTGATTTCTGCGAAGGAACTACATTGGGCTTATGCTGGAAGACAGGCCTCCATTACTCCTGAATGAGAGCTAAACTGGTACACCATTCTCTGTTTGGTGTATGCTGTAATTCCTCTAGGCTATGGGGGTCTATAGGAGACTTTTGGACCTCCTGCAGGGGTACGTGGAGGCAGTCCCATTACTGTTTTAATCCAGGGCTGAGCCAGCAACCGGCTGGTTGTTCAGGGCCAGTCCAACAGGGGCTTTTTCGGTTGAGGGGTTTCAACTGGGAAACCGGTTGAGCCCCAAACAACTCCAATTTTCATCTCATTTTATTATTATATTTTTTTTGACTTTGGTATACGATTGCGTTTACTGAAAGCTGTCGGATTATGCATTGAAACTTGGAAGGTCTGATTCTTTTCTGGAGGTGTTCCGGCGGAGGGAGGGGTTGTGGGGGGTGGATGGGAGGTTGTGGGGAAAGGTTGATGGGAGAGAGGGGAGGTCCTAGGAGGTAAGGTATCCTCAGGCAGGTTACTTTATCACTACATATATAACAATTGCTATTTCACAGCGTGTGACCAGCAGCCAATCTGGGGCCTCCGTTTTGCACTCCCTAGGCCACGTAGTGCCGCGTTGGGCCGGTAGGCCCTAGGGTTGTAAACAAACTTTTTTCAGGGGTGAGTAATGGAAGTGGCCTGGTGCTACGTGCTCTCTCTCTCACATCGCATATGCGTACCTGCACAGTGACAACTCCACAACGTCAGTAGGGAAGGATGGTCAGGGAAGTGGGGGAGTAGGGTCGGCGCAAGGGCCAGGAGGATCGGCGCAGTGAGGGAGGAGGGTGGGCGTGGTGGCTGGGCACAGTAGGGGAGGAGTGTGGGCATGGTGGCTGGGTGCATCAGGGGAGAGGTGTGGGTGCAGTTTGGGAGTAGGAGGGCTGGCGAAGTGGGGGGGAGGCGGTCAGTGCAGTGGGGGAGGAGGGTGGACGCCATGGCTGGGCGCGGTGGGGGAGGAGGGTGGGCGCAGTTGGGAAGGAGGGCGGGCGCAGTTGGGAAGGAGGGCGGGTGCAGTTGGGAAGGAGGGTGATAGGAGTATAGCGGGAGCGGAAAAGCGGAAGTGGGAGCGCCATGCGTCGGGGAAGGGGAAGGGGAGTGGGAGGGGGAGATGGGCG